CAAAACAGCAAATTCTGTGATGATAGAGGCTCTGGTGGTTTCCTAGGAGAAGTGACTGGAATATGAATGAGGCTTTGGGCATGTTATCAATGTGCTATATTTGACCCTGGCTGTGATTTCTTAGGTGTTTGTAGCTTTATACTTGAAATGCTTTCATAGTACTGTGAGCAGAAGATCAATCTGTACCTTTTTCTGTAATTAACAATGAAGCTTTGTAGACACTGGTACAGACACATAATCTAGTTCACATTGTTCAGAAAAGGAGGTGAATGATGTTTCTTACATAGGGTATTTTAGTAAGACAAAAGTAAGAATACACTGGCCTTCTGTCTAACAGGGTAAAACAGAACACATACGACTATAATCACGACTAGCTGTAGGATTTAAAAGGGCTGAACTGGGATGGAAGCAGTGAGGATGGGATGAAAATATGCTTAATCTTCACTTCCAGAACCATTTTGATTTTAAACCAGTGAACATACTCAAAATATTCTTGGAAATATAAACATCAGGTGTCCTTGTGGTATGTTTGAACATTCCTTGGGTATATGCCCAAGAGTGGTATAGCTGGGTCTTGAGGGAGATTGATTGCCAATTTTCTAAGACAGTGCCATATTGATTTCCAAAGTGGTTGTACAAGCAAGTTTGCATTCCGACCAACAATGTAGGAGTGTTCTCCTTGCTCCACATCCTCTCCAGCATAAGGTGTCTTCAGTGTTTTTGATCTTAGCCATTCTGACAGATGTAAGATGGTATCTCAGAGTCGTTTTGATTTGCATTTCCCTGATGACTAAGGATGTTGAGCAATTCCTTAAATGTCTTTCAGCCTTCTGAGCTTCTTCTGTTGAGAACTCTCTGTTGAGCTCTATAGCCCATTTTTTAAATTGGACTGTTGGTTATTTTGATGTCTAATTTCTTGAGTTCTTTATATATTCTGGATATCAGCCCTCTGTCAGATGTGGGGTTGGTGAAGAACTTTTCCCATTCTGTGGGCTGTCGTTTTGTCTCGTTGACTGTGTCCTTTGCCCTACAAAAGCTTCTCAGTTTCAAGAGGTCCCATTTATTGATTTTTTCTCTCAGTGTCTGTGCTACTGGTGTTATATTTAGGAAGTGATCTCCAGTGACAATGCGTTCAAGAATACTTCCTACTTTCTCTTCTATCAGGTTCAGAGTAATTGGATTTATGTTGTGATCACATGCTCAACTATGTTCATAACAGCATTATTTGTAATAGCCAGAACCTGGATCCCCTTCAACTGAAAAATGGATAAATAAAATGTGGTACATATACATAATGGAGTACTACTCAGCAGAGAAAAACAACGACATCATGAGGTTTGCAGGCAAATGGATGGAACTAGAAAAAATCATTCTGAGTGAGGTAACCCAGACTCAGAAAGACAAACATGGTATGTACTCACTCATAAGTAGATACTAGATGTAAAGCAAAAGATAACCAGACTGCAACTCACAACTTCAGGGAGGCTACTTAGTAAAGAGGACCCTAAGAAAGATATACGGATCACCCCATGACAGAGAAATGGATGAGATCTACATGAGCAACCTGGACATGGAAATGGAGGGCAAGGGTCGGGGGAAAGAGAGCTTAGGGGAGCTGGAGGTCCCAGCTGGATCAGGAGCAGAATGGGAGAACAAGAAAAGAGATACCATGATAAATGAAGACCCCACGGGAATAGGAAGAAGCAGAGTGCTAGAGAGGTCCCCAGAAATCCACAAAGATACCTCCACAATAGACTACTGGCAATGGAATTCAAGCCTGGTGATCTTGCCTTAGCCAGAGCACTGTTATTGCATGGGCATATAACTGTAAACCTCAGAGACCTTAGACTAGACTGAGAACTAGAAGAATGAGATGGAAGATGGGGGAAGAACTAGAGGAGGAAGAGCCATATGGAGAAGGACGAGATGGGAAAGAATAAGGTGGGAAGAACTAAGGAGATGAGAAAGAAGTAGATGTGGAGAAGAACAAGAGAGAGAACTTAGCAGAATAAAGAGAGGAACTAAGGACTAAGAGGAACAGATGGGGAAGAACTAGATGGATGAGAACCAAGATGGGGTAGAGCTAGATGAAGGGATTAAGATAGCACTTAGAGGGAACAGCAGGAAAATGCAGAAGGAATCAGGCAACAGAGGAGCTAGGCATGAGAGTAGAAAAGAAGCTGTGTAGACAGAGAACTGACTTAGAAGAATAAAGTGAGTGGACTAGAGTTTTGTGTACGTAGGTTCATTTGAGAATCCTTCAGATTAATTCTCGTTGCTGGTAGCATCTTTTCTGGAACCCTGGGAAAAGACTATTAGAGGCTGGACCCCAATAGCCTCTAATAGTGAAGGATAGTCTCTTGCCATTGGTTTACATACACTTCATGAAAATGTCACAAAACAGTGGTTCTTTTAAAAATAAAATCCGTTTGCCAGTGACAATGTTCCCGCCTTTGTGTTTGGCTTTAACAGTTCTGATTTTCACTTGTTACTTTTGTTCATGCTACACAACCACACTAGGTTTTCAGTATAGGTCACATCCAGATCATTGAGTACCCAAACTAGAGAAGTTGAACAGTTTGGACAACATCACCGTACCGGGTGCTTTCTCACCAAGAGATGAAGGTTCTTATTCTGTGGAGACTTTCATTTTCATTTGAAGTACAGAGGAACAGGGATGATCAGTGATCAATGTTGGTCCTAGCATCACAGTCACAGGCTCTCTGTGCCAGGGGTTCTTTGCCACAACAATTTGATCTCAAATCAGAGGCATGGGTTAGTCTACTGGTAAGAGGGCAGGCTATGTAAGTGGGCTCTGGATACACTAGGCAGAAAAGTGAAAAAAACAGCATGACTTGATTCAGGTCGGTAGTCATTGATACCAGCTCACAGACAGAGATATTGGTGATACCAAGTCTTGAAGGCTAAAATGGCTATGCAAGGAATTTCCCTCTTGGCTCTCACCACTTTGTAAATATGTTCTCCCCACTGGGACTGGTATGATTCTTAACTGTGAATTAGCAATGACTCACTTAATTCATTCTGAGTTTTTTCTCTACAGCTCAATTGCATTTTATACTATATAGATATTTAATTTTAGGCTGTATCTTTGGTATCTTTGGAGAAACAGTAACTAATTTAAAGAGACTTATTACTTCCTTTCGATTTGGGGAAATTATTGGGGCTTTTCACTGCAATGACTAATGATATTTTTATATAGTTAAATAGCTTGTGGGAACTACTGCTCTTTATTCTGTGCACAAAGGAAAAATACCTACAGGAATAGCTGGATGTCTTATGTATGATTAATGAAGGTAAAGGAACAAGAGAACATTGACATAACGCTAAAGGCAATTCAGCAAGAGGAGTTCTTGGAAAGTTGTTCCAAGTTCCTGTGTCTTCAATAACAAAAAGAAATAAGTCTTCCAGTAACAAAAAGGAAACTTGAGTAATATAAGGATACCACATGGGGTCATACAACTCAAGAAAGATACGGACAGACTAGAAAAGATCCGAGCTCACAGTGCAGTTCTTCTAGTAAGGAGATGTCCTTATCCTCTGTGTGTGTGTGTGTGTGTGTGTGTGTGTGTGTGTGTGTGTGTGTGTGTGTGTATTTTGAGACAGAGTTTCTCCACATATACCTGGCTATCCTGAAACTTGCTCTGTAGACCAGGTTGGCCTCAAACTCAGAGATTTGCCTGACTCTGCCTCCTGAGTGCTGGAATTAAGGGCATGTGGCACCACTGCCTAGTTTCCCTAACCTCTCTAAGATCCAATCTTTTTGCTTCAGATGATGATGACTAAGGAACATGGCAGGCATTCTTCAGCTTTTGAGCAGAAGAAAATGAGTCTTTGCACACAAGGTTACAATACGGATTGTAATTCATAGGACAGATTTGAAGGATGCTAGAAAAATCGTCAACAGTCATTGAGAAACACCCACAGACCAGAGAGATGGTTCAGCAATTAATCGCACTTGGTGCTCTTTCAGAGGACCAGAGTTGGATGGCCAGCATCTGCAATGGGCAGCACACAACATCCTGTAACTTCAGCTTTCGGGAATCGAAGGTCCTCTTCTGGTCTCTGCAGTACCATACTCACGGTTACACTACTTCACACAGGCACACAGATAATACAAATATAATTTTAAAATAATGCAAATTTTAAAGACCCTAAGAACTAGTCGAGGACATTTAAGAGTAAGAGAAGGTCCAAGGCCTACCTTTGAAATTACCAGTAACTTCCGGCATATCCACAGGTATCTCTTCTTCTGAAACAATGGTTATGAAGGCTGGGTTCACCTTTAATTTTACTCACCATTAGTGAAGTAGAAATTAGACATGATTGCTACTGAACACATTTCTCACATTAATCTGGTTAAAAATAGTGATTTTTTTTTAAATGTCCTATTTTTTCTCTTGGAGTATTTTCTTTTTTCTGAAGATTTCAGCTTGGCTAGATGAATTTTTAATTTTCTACTTGCAATATTTGTTATTCTTCTTGCCTTTTTATTCAGCAAGATTACTCAAAGAAATAGGCAGAGTTCATAAATATGCAATAACCATTCTGAAGTATTTACCTTAAGAGTTTAGACAAGGAAATATCATAATGAGTCCACAGAAGGCCCTTTTCATGAAGAAAACACACAAAATTACTTTTGTTACATTTGAATTATGATTAACAGAATATCCATGACTGTAGAGAAATAAGAAAGCATGGGCTAAAAGAAGTGTTCTTATTTCCTGTATACTTTCAAATATCAAGATGGAGTGAAAGATGGGAATATACAGGGCTGGGCAGGGTAGCTCACATCCTCTAGACAAAGCTAAAAATGTAAGCAGTCACCTACACATTTGGGCCAACAAAGCATAAACCATGGAGGAAATTTTAAAATGGAGAATTAGCTATTCATGCTTTTTCTTTTAAAGATACAAACCATTAAACTCAAAAAGGCCAGAAATATTTTATTGATGTAAAGATACAAACAGATGATAGTTGAGATGATATTTTCAAATTATAATCATCATTGAAATTTTAGACAAACTTTAACAATTATTGTTAATGTTAATTGCACCATAATTGGTTTCTCTAAATCTACAATTGCATTTAAATAGCATCTGTTAATTTTTTATCAATTTGTTTCATAAAGAAAATAGACGATGATATTTAAAAGTCCATGGAGATAAAATTAGTGTCATCTCCAAAAACAAAATTTCAGAAAATGTTTTCAAACATATCCATATTAAGACACCTATCTGTCTCCACAGTAAATCTGTGAAGCATTGAGCTGTTTGTTTTGATGCTTCTCCTTTACACATGGAGATACAGATTCAGTCCTTTTAGTAAATTTTCCAATGTCATCTACTGTGCCAGAATAGCACTAAGTAAAATCTATTGCTGTATTTTGTTACACAGTATAGTACCTGACACAGAGTTGAAAGACTAAGCGCTTGGTACACAGTCACTGAAGGCTAACATAGTGGATAAACCATCCTGTTATGTGAATTTTAAAACAACTATCACATTTGCTCTCTCTTCCTTTATTCAGGAAATTGCATGGATGAAACTGCATCTAAAGGGAACACTTTATCCACTGTCCTCCTTGTAATTTTGAATTGCTGAATGAAGGGACTTTGCAAGATGGTACCATCTGCTCAGATGTGAAATGATGTATTTCTAGGTTTCCCTTCCCCTCCAAATGGTTCCATGAATCTAGTTCATTGTGGTGTTGGCTTTTGTGGTGTGAATTAAGTCTGTCAGCATCTGGTTAAAACTAACTTTCTTACAAAAGTTACTGATGTTCCAACATTAATGCTGAATATATAATCCACACCTTACCCGGGGATTGATAAAACTGACCTGTATTTTGGATCTCAAGAACTGTAGTTGGTTGCGTTGCTTGAAAACCAATCACATGGCTAGGTCATTCACTGAGTAGCTCAGTCAATGCTGAGTTGATGATAGTGCCAGAAATGGTAAGCCATTTCCTGAGCTAATTTGTCATAGGTTCAGCTGCAACTGGAAATGTGCTGAAAAATTACAGACACATTTTCTAAAGTTGATAAGAAAAGTTCATTAAAACTGAGTGTATCACCAGGAAGATGAACACTCTCAACTGTTATTTATAGTGATGGACATGGATGAGTAAGTTAAAAAATGCCATTAATTTAATTGGCATTAATGTCCAATTAGTCAAAAGAAAGTAAGACACCTCATGAACATATCTAGGACCAAAATGTCTCACTTGAACTTTTACAGCATTTGTATTGTTTTCAGTTGAAAAAGAAAACATTTAATTTTACAGAAAGAATGTATTGAGAAATAAAATTATGTTTGCCTTGGTCACGCATGATTATTGATTTATCTAAACCTTCACCCAGGTGATGTTTTCACTGGGACATAATCTGGAGACATGTGATAATTTCACATCTCCTCATTCCCGTATTAAATGAATGATTTGCTAGACATGCTTTACTACAAGTACATGTCCACATGTCTAAATTGTAGCTCAAGACAAACCTCAAAAATAAGATTTGTCAAGCATCTGTTCCTTGTCATGTCCTGTCTGTCTGATACTTTGAGTTTTAAGAATGTGACAAGGGACTTACAACACTCTGGTGTAAGTCATAACTGTTGTAGAACCTTGCCACAACTGAACTAGAAACAGACACGAATATAATGATGCACATAGGTCTTTGAGTAAACTGAGTTTACTCCCATGATTCAGAAGAGCAACTTTTATTCACGCTCCTCTACCATTTACACCTAGAACATAGTCTGTTACCACTTTAAAAACTACCTGAAGCCAGAAATTTCATTTTGTAATGGGCCAATTACCCAATTATATTTAGAAGACCAATACAAAATAAACTTTAATGGGTATACAACCATACAATGACTAGAAACAGCTAAATGTAAGTACCCGTCCCACAGCAGCAGACACACATGAAGATTCTTAAGCATTAGACCCTCCAACACATTTGCTTATTAGTCAACCCCTTTGTCCACACCATCTCTCTATGCCAGGCAGAAAGGTAGAATGTTTACAATGAAATCTCAGCATTGGATAGTTTCAATTGCCTGTGCCACTGTGGACTAAAGAGAAGATTCAATTTTCACCCCCTAATGCAGTTGTCAGGGTCATGCACGGGTGTCTATTGTCCTTGCTGTTTCTGTCCTGGAGAGTTGGGTTTCCCAGAGTTTTCTCCAGGACGTTGGGCAGGAGTGACAGGAAACTGAAATCCATAGCCATTGTATCCATCCAAGTAGACACATTGGAAGAAACTGATCGGATCTAAGGAAGAGAGCATGGTTTTGTTACAAGAAGGGCCTGCGCATCAGAAGAGCAGGTACACTGAGTTGGGCACCACAGTAGACTATAGTTAGCCTCTATGGCTCCTGGGGAGAACTAAACTTCATTATACCTTGGGTTGTTCAAGCATAAAATCAAAACAACAGAAATCAGGATGGGGATACTGAGAAAAGTAAATAAACCAACATAGGGTATGTGTGTGTGTGTGTGTGTGTGTGTGTGTGTGTGTGTGTGTGTGTGTGTGTATGTGATAATGTCCCAGAGAGTCTGTGAGCCCTAAAGTAACGAATTGTTCCATTTATCTTAATTCTGAAGGTATGAGCTCTGCTGAGACAGCGTACTTTATTCTTCCGGCAATGCCCAAACCCAGGCCCCTCAAGCATAGAAGAACACAGGAAAGTGAAATGAATGTAGGACAGGGCCAATGAGATGACTCAGTGGGTAAAGGTGCTTGCTGTCAATCTTGACTACCTAAGTTCAAGCCCCATAACCCACATGATGGAAGGGGGAATCAACTCCTAATGTAGTATCTTCTGACACCCACACACTAGATGCCTATCGCCCACCTCCACCTAAATGAATAAATTTGTTTTTAAAGAGTGCAGTGCAAGATATTCCGTGAAGCGATGGGCAGAACCTGAGCTCTGGACGTTAAACCGGGTCACCTTGGAGGCAGCTGTGCTGAGATGCAACACTTCTCCTATAATCACAGACAAAGTTATTGACCCTTTACTCTTTTCCAGCCTATCCTTGTATATTATTGCAAACAATTGCAGACATTTTGCAGAAGGCCAGGGAAGAAAAGGCCAGATTTGTATGAATGAAATGAAGCATGGGGGAAAGAAGCTGAAAGAAGGAATAATACCTCTTAGGCTAGCCTCCCAAATTCCTTTTGCCTCAGCCTCCCAAGTTCTGAGGTTATAGGCATGAGTCACACTGAGGGTATCTTCAGATTCGAGTGCTTAGAGGCTGTCCAGCCTCAATAACCAGGTTTTCAGAAATTAACCTGCTTGCCCTTTTGTTCTGCTTTGGTAGCACAAATCCTCTTCTCCCAAAGCTGCAGAGACTGTAACAGTGAGTGTGCATTAGATGGAAGTAACAAAGAAGCTGTTGGAGTCAGAGAGAAATAACAGCCCTGACACTAAAATGCAAGGGCCTCTTCATGAAAGGTCGGTCTGTTCCATTTGAGCCTTAGCAGATTCCGGTGCTGTCCTGACATATGCATCTAACTCCAGTTGAAAGAGCTATTAATAAAAATATCACTGGTTCCAAAAATTTTAGAACCTACATTAAAGGCTCCTGAAGACAAGGATATAAAACTACTGTTAAGGTAAAAATGGGAAAATGCTTTGATATAATAAATTCCAAGAGTGAAGATTACTGAAAAATACTTGAAAAATATTTAACGTATTTATTTTTATTAAATTTTATTTTGTTTTGTCTTCAAGGAAATATTTTTGCTCTGTAACAATGGCTATCTTGAGTTACTTAGTATGTGTCCCAGGATGGCCTTGAACTCATAGCAATCACCATGCCTCAGCATCTAGAGTGCTAGTAGTAGAAACTGTGCCTGGAGACTTTCAATTCCATTTCTTTTTATGTTGAAATAATTTTAGATTCACATGCAATTGTAAGAAACGATACAGAAATATTTCATGCATGTTCACCCAGTTTCTAACATAGGCAAGATAAACAGGAAATTAGTGGGCACAATCTACATATTGAATTTTCTTTGAATGCTTATTTATGAAATAAGCGAGTTCAACTATTGACGCAACTTAGTTGAAAATTATTAACAGTAGTTTATCAATTGGGATAGTGTGAAAGCATGGATAATAATTGCTTCTTCATGAATTTTGCAATGGTATCTGAAATAATTACATCAAGACTGCTTATACTCCTGTATTTCTCACAGTCTGATTGTATGAAGCATTCCAGTGATCATCTTTTATGTGTTTCTGACATGTCAGTATCACCAGCAATGCTTGCAGCGTAGTAGGCATCCAAACCTCTCAATTAATAAACCACTTCAGCAAATTTCTGCAGAAGGCATGGAAGAGACCATGCACATCCTATAGGAATTATTTTCTCAGATACATATTCAGTTCTTTACTTTAAAGCATTATTTGTGATGACCTTGCTGGTCATCATTTTAAAACTGCCTCTTCTATTCTGCCTGGTGAAGGTTTAATTTGTATATATATAGATATCCATATATCCATATGTGTGTGTGTATCCATGATTTACTGCTTTAACATAGGAAAAAATTCTAATTTGGAAGCACTGGGATAATGATAATTTTGAGCACCAAGTTTTACAACTGCATGTGAATACTGATTGGATTCTAGAATCAAGGATCCCAGAGATTGTCTGCCAAAAGCTTGCCAGGTATCCAGGGATGTCAAAAGGAAATTTGAATCTTGGGAATGAATTTCCAAGCAACTGAATTGCTGAAACCTATTTTTATATTTTAACAAAAATTGATTTAAAGAATTTCAGCACCTCACTTCTACTGTTCTGTTATATAGCAGACAGGAACTCACATTTAAGCAAGATTCACCTAGAAAGCCCAGGATCAGAATTGTACAGAATGGTTTGTGATAAATGCCACTTCAATCATTACTTAGAGTTATCCAACTCTGCACTTCTTTCCTGACACGAAAACGACAAGTTTCTCTTTGAAATATAAATGGTTCACTTTAAGGTCATTCTTCAGGCCAGTTTTAAAAATCTTTTTTCTTTAATTACTGTTCTTGGGAGGCTCTCAGTTTAAATTTCTAAGTAGTATCTACATTATTGGAGGAGTTAGTTGTTTTTTGAATTTAATTATAAACTTACTTTTTTGCTTCTTTGGGGAAGGTACCTCATCAGTTACTTCTAGAGGAGAAAAATTTAAAAGGTAAGTACTAATATGTGCAGAGATACATATGATGTACACGGTGTGAGTCTTCTATACATAAGCACAGTATTTTAGTGGCAGAAAATACCCTTCTTACACACCCGAGGTTTTTATTTAGATTCAATTCAACTTTCCTCATAAAAATGAATACCTAGGTAAAGAAACACGCTCTTGGCAACTGTATCAACAGGAAGGCTGGCCCTTTTGGTTGGGGTGCTAATGGATGGGGATGAACTGGCATGTGCTCATTTCTTAAGATGTGGTCTTTGATGCTCAGGTATAAAAATTGTAAAGGTAGTATCTACATAAATAATTCTGACTCTTTATGTACTGGAGGGTTTGCAGTTTTCTTTCATTATTTCAAATTATCACATAGACGCTTTTAACCAATGGTTACTCTAGTGCACTATGGGAAAACAGAATTCATCCTTTCTGGGTTTCGCTGTTCTTTAGTTGAGTCATTCATTACTTATCTTTTGCTGTCCCCACTTTATCACAATTGCTCCATTCTGCTCTGGTATGCAATTGAGATCTAGTTTTGAAAACATGGTGATGGTATGTGGTACTTGTCTTATTTCACTTAACACAATGACTTTCAGACCCTTCCGTTTTGCTGCAGATAGCAGCTTACAGGTTTTTTTGTTTGTTTTGTTTGGTTTGGTTTTTGGTTAAATAATAACCCATTGTGTATATACGCCAAAATTCTTGTACCTCTCATTTACAAACAGGCATCTGTGTTCATTCTGTGCTATGGCTGTGTAAACAGTGCTGTAATTAATATGGAAGTGCAGGTATCATGTTGTGATAATAATGATTTGTTTCATTTGAAGATATATTCAATAGTGGAAGTGATAGATGATGTATTAGGTCTATTTTTAGTTTTAAAAGGAATGCTTGTATCTTAAATTGCTAAATCAATTGACATTCTCACCAATTATAAAAATGACAATTGATACATTTTCCAGTAACACACTTTAATACAAGATTAAACCTAAAATTTGTTTTGCAAGACATGGGTATCCATTTATCTTACTGTCTTTTTTCAAAGCAATGCTTTTTACATTTTTAATGAAGTCCAAGACCAGTTACAGAACATATATTTCATAGCAAGAAGAAATCTTGGACAACTTTTACTATTCACAGAATACGAGCAGAACGTAAAATGAGTGTGTTGTAGTCCAAAGTCAGAAGCTAGGAGCTCTTCAGCAAACAACAATGACAAAAACTGACCAAGCTAGTTCCAATTCTCACTTTCCAGACAGAGACATTTGGAAATGTTTGGTTTAGATTAGACATCTGGAGGTAGCAAGTTTTTCTGAGTGCATGCACTAAGTATATGTGTGTGTGTGTGTGTGTGTGTGTGTGTGTGTGTGTGTGTGTGTGTGTGTATGTGTGTGTGTATGTGTCTTTTCTAGTTCCTATCTTCCCTCCCTTACTTCTTTGTTTTTTCCCTTTATGAGAAGGCTGTTGCTACTGGTGACTTTTTTCTTAATTAGGAGCAATTCTTGACAAAATAATAGGTTTGCACTCAATGAAGTGATAATTTTGTTATCATTAAACATGATAATCTTAAAGAACATTTCTACAGATTAGACAATAAATGTATCTGATTATTATATGTAAATAATGTCCATCCAACTCTTCCTCAATATTCAAGGAAATGAATAGTTGGTAAAAAATATGGAACTATTAAAAAATAAATCTACCACATAGATGTTAATAATTATAGAAAGAGATCGAAAACATTAAACTAAAACACACAGACAATAAAAAGCAAAACATTGCGTCCTTGAGAGAAAATGTGGAAAGGAGCAGAATGCAACTGACTCACCTTTGTCTTTCTTTGAAACTGGTGCATCTTTGGAATCTTCTAGAATACAAAAATAAAAGTAAATCACATTCTAAATGCTTTTTGTTGCTCAAGGGAAAATGCTCTACTTAAGGTATTTTTTTTTTTTTTTATGAGTTGTAGGTCGCTAATCTAAATGCAGCATCTAAATCAAGCATTCTGACTTGGGAAATGGGTTTAAAGGGGGCAACACTGAGCTGTTCCAAAGCAGAGAGACAAAGTACAGGACATATCACATCAAAGTACAGGACATATTACATCAAAGTACAGGACACATCACATCAAAGTACAGGACACATCACATCAAAGTACAGGATATATCACATCAAAGTATGGGACACATCACATTAAAGTAAGGGACACATCACATCAAAATGTTTCTAAGCAACAAAGCAAACAGATAAGAGAATGAAAAGACAACTTATAAAATGAGATAAAATATTTGTAAACCATATACATAATAGAAGATTAATATGTAAAATATGGAAGTCATATGCCTAGAGAGAAAAAGATAGCCCAATTATAAGTATCCATAAAAGGTATACACATTGTCAAAAGATACATACAAATGTGGTCAATAACTATGTCACAATTCACAGACCCAGAGAGGCTAGGTAATAAGGAAGGCTCAAAGGAGGACACTTGGATCTCCATGGGAAGGGGAAATAGAAGAGATTTCCTGGTTTGGACTGGGAACATGTGGGTTAGGAACTTGAGGGATCAGGTGGGGGAGGTGGGGGAAGAGTATAAAATAAATAAATAAATATTAAATATATTTATAAAAATAAAATAATTAAAGGAATATATAAATAAACATGATTCAGATATATATATATATATATTTAAAAAAATGAATTGTCACGGAAATAAAGTAACAATCATTGTAAGACATCACATGTCAAATTGACTATTATCAAATAATGTCAAATAAAGCAAGTATTAAGAGGAAAAGAAGCTTTTTTACTTTCTTGGTTGGAAATTAAATTGGTCTGGTCACCAAAGAAAATTTATGGAGTTTTTCAAAACCATAGAAAATGGATTTGTTATATAATATTCAGCAACTCCACCTGGGGGTTCATGTTCAGGGCATGCTCAGGCTCATCATGCATATGAAATTTTCTAAGATAGTGCCTGGAGAGATGGTTCAGTGGGTAAAGAGCTTGCAAGTATGAGAGCGTGGGTTTGGATGTCCAGAATAAACCTAACACGTGGTGGTGCAGATCTATCATCCTAGCCCTGGATGTGAGGAAACAGGAGGATCTCTGAAGCTTGCTGACAATCCCAAATCAATGAGCATCAGAGTCAGTCAGAAATCACACCTGAGAAGCTAACGTGGAGAGTTAAGTGGGAAAACACCTATCATAGACATGTAGCTTCAGCATACATGTGCATGCACCTGTAAGAATGCATGTGTACAGAAAAACACACATACAACCATAGCATGTGGACACACACACACACACACACACACACACACACACACACACACATTCTCTAAGACAACAGATTTTAATGTAAAATTCTTACTACAAAAGTTAATTGAAACAATCAGTATGTTAATCAGCTTAATGATCATAATTATATTTTGATTCATATGTATATTAAGCCATCAGACTGTACAACTTAAAATGTACAATTTTTCTTTACCAATTATACCTCAAAGAAACTAGAGAAAAAAGACATTAAATTTGAACTGAAACTCAAAGACATAAACAGTAACTCAGTTATATTTTGAAAATTACCATGTCTTTTATGCGTTCTGACTTGCAGGCACAAATGGAATCGTGTGGAAGAAAGTTTAAATCAGAGACAACACTAACACAATATACTGGAACAGTCTTTTGATTTTTCACTGCAGTCTTTTAGTACTTATAATTGTTTTTTTTTGTTTTTGTTTTTGTTTTTGTTTTTTTTTTTTTTTTTGATTTTTCGAGACAGGGTTTCTCTGTGTAGCTTTGCGCCTTTCCTGGAACTCACTTGGTAGCCCAGGCTGGCCTTGAACTCACAGAGATCCGCCTGGCTCTGCCTCCTGAGTGCTGGGATTAAAGGCGTGCGCCACCACCGCCCGGCTTATTTGCTTAAAGTTTACATGCCACATTTTAACTAATAAATGTGAAAGGGGTAAGGTAGGACAGTATTTGAATTTTGTCTAATAGAAAAAAAAAATGTGACCTCTAAGGTGAAACATTATTATAACATAAGAATAAAATGGAAAACAAAACAAAATTACTAGCACCATTTTTATAGTTTGTAATTAAAGGTTGAATTGACCTGTTTTAAAATTTATTATTTTGTCTTAGCTCATTTAAATACGGATGAAATGGCCATAATCTTAACCGGACTGATCAACAGCTATAAATAAAGGAAATCTACAAATGGTGAGATGATATTTGGAATAAGATAATGTGTATCTTTTTGAAAATGATGCCAGACTATCTAAATGAGGAAAAATAACTGACTTTTTTAAGGAATTTGTATATGTATACAAATTTCTGTACAAACACAAAGTGGTACAAAGATCTCATCCATAGAAACATACATAAGAGTTTGTATGTTATAACATACTCAACCACTAATTCCAAGTAGAATAAAATCTTAACTATATTCTTCAAACATTTATTTCTATTATGTGTATATTGTATCTGTGTATGAGTGTGTACGTATGAGCACATGTCTCCATATTTCCATTGTTTATTCCTTAGAATAGTGTCATCAAGTGACTTTTTAATCTTAAGGAGAGTTTGAAGACTCCAGAGAGCTTTTGTTTATATAGATAATACATCCACTGGTAATTATGTTTGGAAAATAAAGCAAACATTTTAAAATACATTTTGAAAGAATCTCAAGCATATATTCTCTTAGAGCAATGATACATTTCTGTTTTGGCATTCTCTGGAGAACTCTAATGTATGTTCATCAGAACAAGGGAGTGGAAAAGGTTATAGGAGATGGATGCTAATATGAAAGTTTTATTTTCTTTTCTCAATATGTGTATGTGTGTGTGTGTATGTATGTGTGTATGTATGTATATATGTGTGTGTGTATGTGTGTGTATATGTGTGTGTTTGTAAGTGTGTATGTGTGTGTATGTATGTGTGTGTGTGTGTGTGTGTGTGTGTGTGTGTGTGTGTGTGTGTATGTGTGTGTGTGTATGTTCCAGGTCCTATCCTCCCTTTCTTACTTCCTTGTATTCTCATTATGAGAGGGCTTTTATTATAGGTGACTTTTTCTTAATTAAGAGTAATTCTTGATGAAATAGTAGGTTTGCCCTACTTCATAAAATTATCTTTAAACTTGATAATTTTTAAAGAATATTTCTGCAGATTAATCAATGAACGCACCTGGTAATTACTGTTAAATAATGTCCAGCTCGTTTTTTTCAGTATATCAGGAAATGCATAGTTTGTAAAAATACAATATTATTAAAAAATAATTCTACCACATAAATGTTGCCTAGAAATTCCAATAATTGTACAAAGAGGTTCAAAACATTAAATTAAACAAACAAGCAATGGGAAGAAAACCACTGCATCCTTGAGAGAAAATGTGTAAATGGGTAAAAAGTAACAAACTCACCTTTGTCTTTCTTTGAAGCTGATGTGTCTTTGGAATCTTCTAGAGAACAAAAATGAAAAGTAAATCAGTCTACAGCCTTTTTTTTGTTCGAAGGAAAACACTCTACTTAAAGATTTTACCAGTTATAGATCGCTAATCCTAAGTGCATCTTAGTTCAAGCATTCTGACTTGGGAAGCGGGTGTAGAGGGGCAGCACAGAGCTGCTTCCAAAGCAGAGGGACAAAGGACGGGACACATCATATCAGAGGATGGGATACATCACATCAAAACATTCTAAGCAACAAAGCAAACAATTCTGAGGTTAAAAAGACAACTTAAATGAGATAAAAATATATGCAAATCATATAGCTAATAGGAGATTACAAACAAGTAAGTCATATGCCTGGAGAGAAAAAAATAGCCCAATTAAAAATATCCATAAAATATACACACATGGTAAACAGTAACATAAAAATGTGGTCAATCTCATCAATTTTCATGGAAATGAATTAAAAATCATTATAAGTAAGCCGGACGGTGGTGGCACATCCCTTTGATCCCAGCACTCGGGAGGCAGAGACAGGCAGATCTCTGTGAGTTTGAGTCTAGCCTGGTCTACAGAGTGAAGTCCAGGACAAGCACCAAATCTGCATAGAGAAACCCTGTCTTGTAAACCCTCCCCCCCAAAAAAATCATTATAAGACATCACATTGCATGTCAGAATGACCATTATCAAATAATGTCAAATAATAACAAGTATTTAGAGAAAAAGAAACATGACAATTTGTGTTTGGATGCTCTAAATCAACATAAAAAATCAGGTGTGGTGGTACACATCTGTAATTCTGGCCCTGGGCATGGGAAAGCAGGAGGATCTCTGGAGCTTGCTGACATTCCCAAAACAATGAACATCAGGGTCAGTAAAAATCTTGCCTCAAAAGCCAAGGTGGGGGGCTATGGAAGAGAACACCTGAAATGGACCTGTAACTTCAACATGCATGTGCACATACCTGCACATACACATGTACACACAAAAAAACCCCACATCTCACACACACACACACACACACACACACACACACACACACACACACACACACATACACACACACACACACACACAATTCTCTAAGACAACAGACAGTAATGTAAAGTTCTTACTACAAAAGTTAACTAAGCCAATTAATATGCTAATTAGCTTAGGCATCATAATTATATCTTGATGCATGTGTGTATTAAACCTTCATGTTGTACATCTCCAAACATACAATTTGTTTTTACCATTATACCTCAACGAAACTAGAGAAAAATGACATGAAACTTTAATTAAACCTCAATTATATTTTGAAAATTACTTTGTCTTTTATGCATTCTGACTTGCAGGCACATATGGAATTGTGCAGATGTAATTTTAAATCAGACAACACTAATACAATATACTGGAGCAATCTTGACTTTCACTGCACTCTTTTAGTACTTGTTATTGTTTTATTTACTCAGAATTTGCATATTTTAACTAATAAATGGAAAAGAGGTAAGATAGGTCAGTATTTGAATTTTCTCGAATAGAAAAGAAATGTGACCTTCAAGGAGAAAGATTATTATGTAAAAGAACAAAACGGAAAACAAAATTACTAGCACCATTTTTATAGTTCGTAATTAAAGTTTGAATTGACCTGTTTTAAAGTTTATTCAAATGTTGGATTAGCTCACTAAATACTGATGATATGGCCATAATCTTAACCCAACTGATCTACAGCTATAAATAAAGGAAATCTGCAAGTGGTGACATGATGTTTGGAAGCAACGTAGTATGTATCTTTTGAAAACGATGCCAGACTATCTAGATGAAGAAAGAGATCTTCTTCCTTTAAGAATTAGTGTGCTTACATGAAATTTATGCACAAACTCAAAATGGTACAAGGTCCTCATCTACAGAAACATACATAACTGTTGGTAGGTTATAACATACCAAAAATTAAAACACTTATTCTCAGCAGTTCTTTCCCCCAGGATAAGCATAAATGAAACTTAACTATATTTTTAAAACATATTTTTATTCTTTTAACTTTGTGTCTGTGTGGGTGTGTGCATGTCAGTACAGTGCCTCTTGTAAGTGGTGCTCAACCTTCCTAATGCTGTGACCCTTTAATACAGTTCCTTGTGTTGTGGTGACCCCCAACCATAAAATTGTTTTTGTTACTCCTTCATAACTGTAGTTTCCCTACTGTTATGAATAGTAATGTAAATATCTGATATACAGGATGGTCTTAGACAACTCCTGTGGAAGGGTCCTTCAACTCACAATGGGATCATGAGACACAGGTTGAGAACCACTTCTCTAGAGCATGGCCGAACTCCTGAAGCTGGAGTTATAAGTGTTTGTGGGTTGTCTTCCTGATATGGTGCTAGGAACTGAATTCTGGTCCTCTTCAAGAGCATTAACTACACTTTAACTGCTAAGCCATACCACCAGTCCCCAAACCCCACTCTCATACTGGATATTGTTCAGAGCATGAGAAACCTTGGCACACTCAATCCTAAATGGGAGGTCTTCTTCAAATCTCTCTCCTCACAACTCAGGGAACTATGTGGAAGAGGAGGTGGAAAAATTTAAGAGCCAGGGTGGATGGGCGACATCAAGGAAACAGTGAGTTCCGGACACACATACAAACTCACGGAGTGTGGCTGCGTATAAAGGACCTGCACAGGTCTGGGTCAGGTGGGGTCTCAGCACTGAAAAGAAAGTGGCCATGAGCCACAATTCCGAACCCAGTATCTCTCACCAGTTAATGACCACTCACAGAGGAAAAAGCGTTTTCTCCAATGGAGTCTCACTGGATATGGAAACCACACTTAAGAGAGGACCCATGGCCAGCACGAGATGGCAAACACAAAATGAACGCAAGTGGTATTTTTGGAGTTTGTCTCGTAATGCTTTGTTTATTTATTTATTTATTATTAATTTTTTACCTTATTTCTTTTGCTTATCTATTATGGTTTCTTTTCTATTTATTTATTTATTTATTTATTTATCCATTCATTCATTAATTAATTCATTTATTTATTTATTTATTTATTTTTGGGTTCTTCGAGACAGGGTTTCTCTGTGTAGCTTTGTGCCTTTCCTGGAAATTACTTGGTAGCCCAGACTGGCCTCGAACTCACAGAGATCTGCCTGCCTCTGCTTCTGCCTCCTGAGTGCTGGAATTAAAGGCATGCGCCACCACCACCTGGCTCTGTTATGGTTTCTAACTTTGTGTTTTTATGGGTTTTCTGTATGGTGTGTGTGTGTGTGTGTGTGTGTGTGTGTGTGTGTGTGTGTGTGTGTTGTATATGTGTATGTTTTCCTGTATATGTGTTTTTTTTGTGCTTTGTATTTTACTTTCTTTGTTTCTTTGCCTTTCTTATTCTGGTTTGCTTGTTTTTCTATTGGACTGTTGGTTTTCCTAGGGAGGGAGAGAAAGAAAATGTGGTGCAGAGAATTTAGGGTGAAACAAAGGAGTGGAAACTGTGATGAGAATATACTGTATGAAATATGTATTTTCAATAAAAAATTTAAAATAACTGAAAGAGATTCAGATCTGCTTCCTGAGTAAAATCTAAGTCATGATGGAGGCAGGATAGCATAGGTTCTGTGAGGCTGATGAAGGAGACAAACTGAAGGCCCCATATGTTGGCAGTTAGGAGATTGCACACTTTATACACATATAACATACTTGTATATAATCTCCATATATTATCTGTACAAAGTGTTTGCTAAACAGACATATGTATGTTGTATGAGTTCAAGTTTTGGTTAGAATTTATTAGTCATAAAGAAATAGGCAGTCTAGCATCAGTGCCAGTGGGACATAGGGTGGACAATTATAAAACTTTTAAATTTTAAGGAGACAATTTTGTGTTGGTCCCATTAGTTTTATATTATCTAGAATAGTGATTCTCAGAGAGATTTTTTTTTAAAAATCTTAAAAAAGATTGAGGACTCCAAAGAACTTTTGTTTATATAGATAATATATTGGTAATTGATGTTTGGAAATTAGAGCAATCATTTAATAATTCATTTTGAAAGAATCCCAAGCATCTATTCTCTTAATGCATTGATGCATTCATGTATCATTAGGTCTCTGGAGAATTCCAATGTACATTTATCAGAATAAGGGGGTGGAAAATGTTATAGGGAATGGATGCTAGAAAGAAGGATTTTATTTTAGTCAATATGTCAATGTGTATGTGTGTGTGTGTGTGTGTGTGTGTATGTGTGTGTGTGTGTGTGTGTGTGTGTGTGTATGCATGTTCATGTTTCTGAGGAAGCAATTACATGTTGCAGGTTAAAGGACTACCTTGGGTTTCCCTCCACCCTTATCTGGGACAGAGTCTCTTGTTGAGTGCTGTATATGTCAGCCAGGTTATCTGGTGCATGAACTGACTCTGACCCATGTCTTACCATGGGAGACTGAGTGCACAAAAACATGCTACCAAGTCCAGTTTTTATGTGTGTGCTGGGGATCCAAGCTTAGTTCCTCCATGCTTGCCCAACAAGGGCTTGAGTTATATGTCACTTGAAAGAGTTAGGTGATTCCAAAGATCTGCTGAGCACACATTGAGAAGTGCTACTTCAAATACCAAACTGGATTTCTATATGATAGATAATGTATTATAAAAATAGATAATGTAATACAACATGTCAAAAGAAAGGGGACTATTTAAAAATAGGCATGATAAATTCCATCAAGCCAAAGTGTTTTAAAAAAAATAGCCAAGGAATTATTAGTTCTTAAATGAAGACATGCCTATGTAAATGTAATTATAAACAAAATTATGTAGAATATCAACAATAAAACAGACAACATAAAACTGGACTGTTCAAAGTACGAATTACTATATTGGGATGTATTCTTGACTTATGTATTTTATGGAAAGCCATTGAGGTGGTTAGTTTTATGTCAACTTTATATAAGCTAAAGTCATTTGAGAGGAGGGAACCTCCATTAAGAAAACATCTCCACAGTATCTGGCTGTAGGCAGGCCTATAGGGAATTTTGTTAACAACCTATTGA